AATTAACATCATCACTTTTTTCAACTGGCATCGAGTCAAATACCGGACCAGAAACACACATATTTTGGCTGTGTATGCCAGAGAAGACTCCAACCGAATTGCACTTTGGCTAGGTGAAATACCTATGTACAACGGATTGAGTCACAACGGCAACCCAATGCCTTCACAGTGACTCAAAATTTGCGCAATGCGCCGGTGCCTCCAAACACCAAGGAGCCTCTACCGCCCCATGGAGCTCAACTGAGCAACATAAGACCAAAATTAACGTAATGTAAAATTCCTGCCTTGACTACTGTCACTTTAAGGTATCTTCGTTACCTGTGACGCCGCCGACTACGACAAACAGGCAGCAACCTAAGCAGCGGCAAGCATAATAGGAGCCCAGTAGGCAACACTACTCATCCCTCGGACGTCGAGTCCATGCTTAACCATGTGTTTACCCAGCATACAATTTGTGACGACTTCGTGTGTAACCCACAGAAAATTTGTAATTGTTTTCAGGACCATTTCAAGACCTGTTTCGAACCATTTCGGGATTTGATGACTATTTCGGTTTCATATCGGCACTGGTTCAGGACCATTTCGTGTACTGGACCCGACAAAATGAATAAAAATTCAATGAGGATTTTTTGTTTTAAATGGCAAACAGCTCTGACGAAGTCCAAATTTTCTCCTCCCAAATTTTCGGGGAAAATGCTACTCCCTGGGAGCTAATAATTATTGGAGGTAGTATTCATAATTGGGCTGATAAGGTGGTGCTGCTTTGTTTTTGTTGTTTTTTTTTTGTACTACCGCCACCCCCTTGTGTTAATTCGCCTTGGTAACTACATACACGCGCTGCTCATTTGCCAGATATACAATTTTCAAGTCAAGTCAAGTTTAATAGTTCATTTCCACCAAGCTTTACCCGCAGTTTGTGCTTATTGGAAAAAGATTGTTAAACCTCAAAGGGTGTAATTGCGAATATTAAATGCAGCAAAGGAAAGTGAATGAGCAAAAAGTAAGAAATAAACCTTGCCGATCACCCCATGTTAAAGTTCTTTGAACTTGCTTGGGGTCCTAACTGCAGTTAAGCTTTGGTGGAAATGGGCTATTAGTCTTGCATAACTGAGCTTTTACAGTCGTCCGCTGTAATTCATATCGAAACCATACGAAAACTAACTGAATTGAATTCGATCGTCTGGCTCGGGAGAAGCTTGGTTTGGTACCCAGCCCACTGGTGAGCTCCATCAGCGAGATTGAGGCCAATTTGAGAATCGCCGAGACAACACTTCAGAATTTAATGAACAGGGCCTGCCCGCTACAATACTCAAAGAAGACATTTCCACCTTGGTGGAATAGTGACTTATCTA